ACGTACACAAAGAGACAGACACACATGCATACACATATACACGTACAAAAACACACACAAAAAAGACACACACAAGTTACACAAGTTACACACATGTAATCAAACACCATCACCCATTTAACGCAGTTTGACAAGGCGTTAATGAACATTGTTGTGGATACTTCAATCATTCATCTACTTGATGACGTCATGGTAAAAATAATAATGACGTCATCATGAACAGAATCGTCATCGTCGTCATCACCATCAAAATAGTTGCCATCGTCGTCTTCGTCATCACCATTTTTATGATGATGATGAGGATGATGATGATGATTATTACCAAAAAATGGCATCACCAACATACACCCCATCACGTCATATCAACTTATCAGTTTCTGTTTCACATGGCTCTAGTTGGAAAAACATATAAAGGGACCAATATAAATACAGACAGAAAGGCAGACAAACAGACAAACATACTGACAACAAACAAATGGAAAGAGAAAGAGAGAGAGAGAGAGAGAGAGAGAGAGAGAGAGAGAGAGAAAACAAAAGAAATAAATGACGGAATAAGAAAAAGAAAAACAGAAAGAAAAAAGAGTGAAAGAGAGATAGTAAAAGAAAGAGAGAGAGAGAGAAAAATAAAGAGATAAAGAGAGAATGGAAGGTAATGATGTTTGAATAGCCAGGGGCCTTAGGGTTCTATTGGATTAGATTGGTTACCGGCAATTTGGCCAGTCGTTGGGTCATTAAGAGGCAGCAGACAAATAAGAATAAAAATAAAAAAATAATACTAATAACAACCGTGATAATGGTAGTAGTAATACAAATAATAATGCAAGAAACAGATACAACTGTGAACGAGGTGTGTGAAATCAATCAAGTCCAAACACCAATCAACATTAACACGACAGAAACATTTAAAAAACATACAAAACCATACAAAAACAACATGCAGAAAACACACAATAACATACAAAAAACAACAAAACAAAACCATATACAAAACAACAAAATACAAACAGGATAAAACATCGAATACAAACAAGCAAACATTTGCAGCAGCGTGCCTAATGTTATTTTTGCGATAAAAATATGCAAAATCATGCCCATGTAAGAACATACTCAACATACTCAACATTTTTTTTAAAATTTTTTCACAAAAATATCGCCAATAAAAATGACAAAATAATACTAATACGGTTTTATTAGTTTTTTTTTCATTTTTTTTCATTTTTTCATAAAATACTAATACGGTTTTATTAGTTTTTTTTTCATTTTCGTACAATTTGAATTTAAACTCCCAAGACAGAACAAAATGAAAGTAGATAAATTAATGTACATTTAAAAAATAATAACATTAATAATACCAATATTGAAATAATATCATTGAAATAAAAATATTGTTAATAAATATATTTATTAATAATTATATCACCAACAAAAACGTTAAAAAGATATCTAGGTTATTACATAAGTAGTACAAGTACGCACCACACACACAAACAAACTTCCGCTCTCTTTCTCTCTCTCTCTCTTTCTCTCTCACACATATACACTCTCTCTTTCTCTCTCTTTCTCTCTCTATCCCACACACAAACTCTCTCTCTCTCTCTCTCTCTTTTTATATCTCTCTCAATCTTTCTTTCTCACACACACAAATTCTCTCTCTATCTCTCTTTCTCCCTCTACAAACACATATACAATAACATACACGTACACACACACACACACACACACACACACACACACATATTTACGTTACGTTCAAGATTACGAAGAATAGCGTTATAATTAGCAACATAAATTTTTATTGTCATCTAAATATTTCGATCGTCAAAATATTTTTTTGTCAATAGTTCATCGTCGTCATCATCGTCATCATCGTCATCATCATCATCATCATCGTCAATGTCATCATTATCACCACCACCAACACCACCATCCTCATCATCATCATTGTCACCATCATCATCAACACAATCATCCTCATCGTCATCATCTTCATTATCACCACCACCATCATCATTACTCTCCTGGAATACTCACCACATCAGTTCTCACACTCCTTCTTCCATCTCTATCTCTCTCTCTTCCCCTCACTTTCCCATCATCATCTCTCTCTCCAGCCACTGTTGAATGATTATTCCAAATGGCCGCAACATAAGTTTCAAGTCTGTGTGTGTGAGTTTGTGTTTGTTTGTGTGCGTGTGTGTATGTATCTGTAAGTGAGTGTGTGTTTCCATGTGTATATCGGTGTGTGTGAGTGTGTGTGTGTTTTTGGGTGTGTACATCGTATATAATATGTCTTTATGAATTTAATATGATGTCTGCATGGTTATGTGCGTGTATGTGTGTGGTTATTTGCGTGTATGTGTGTGGTGGTTACATGTGTGTATGTGTGTGTTTGTATGTGTGTGTGTGTTTATGTATATATAAGCTTATAGGAAAAATTATTCTTTTAAAAGATTAGATTGCTTTGTTTGGCGAGGATGTAGTAAAAGATATTGAAAAAAATACAAAAAAAAATGTTTCCATACAGCGATGTACATTTTCTTAATATTCAAAAGCGCTACTTAATGCAGAAGAGGTTTCTATTGTTACGTTACTGTGCGGTTTTAAACAACAACACAAAGTGTTGTGTGTGTTTCTGTTTGTATGTGTGTGTGTCTGTGTGTCTGTGCCTGTTTGTGTGTGTTGGTGTGTGTGTGTTAGATAATGCGCTTGTTATTAAGAACTAATGTTGTTTAAAAAAAAAAAAATTGTAAAAAAAATTTGATGATGTTTTTATAGAGAATTTTGATGAAAGAAGCAGTTTTTTTGATGAAAATAGGCAAAAATGACGGAAAATTTTCAAATAAAAGAACAATACATACATTGTTTTCCATCGGGAATTTGAAAAAACCCTTCAAACGAACATTTTTCAGGCAAAAAAACGCGTTACCAGAAAAAAAATTAAAAAAAAAAACAGAAAAATAAAAATGACAAATAATAACTTCAGAAAAATATAATTGCTATAATAGCGCGCGGCGAACGAATAAAGTACGGTGCTGTAATTGGAACGTAACAAGCCGAACGGAGGCAGTGTGCAATTTGATATATTTTTATATAGTTTCTGTGATTTTTCACATTTATACAATTTTTTGTTTATTCATTAATTTTAATTACTATAAAAAATGTGTTTTTTTGTAACGTATCGCGTTTTTTCACCTCGGTTTCTTTTAAAAAAATGAATTTTTTTTATCTAAATAACGTTTTAAAAGTGGTTTAGAAGCTGAGAGGAACATTTAGAATAACATTTTTTTGGTTTATTTCATTTTATGGCTGGCGTGGTTGTGAATTTGAAATAAAATATGAACATTGACAAAACGCATGAGCCCGTCTAGGTACCCACTGAAAAATTTTGAAAGTTCCTTACCGGCGCTACTAAACTAGTCAATGTAAAAAATTTTTCCAAAAAATTTATAATTTTCAAAAATAATTTTCCATCCATACAACCATACAGAAAAAAAATCAACAAGACGAACCTTTTAAATTTATTAAGTTTAATTTCAGTGCCGGCCACAACTTGCCTCTTGCTGCTACAGCAGCAGCAGCAGCAGCTATTTTTGAGAACGTTTCTGAAGTTGTCGTTGAGGAAGGAGTAGAGGATAGGATTGGCCGCGCTGTTCAGGTAGGTGAGGGCACTGAGGAATTGATATAAGACCCTGACCCACTCATTTATACCCTCCAGATACTTGACGATGATCTGGAAGAGCCAGTAGGGGGTCCAGCAAATTAGGTACATGGCGATGAGCATTGAGACCACTATTGTCACTCGTCGCTTGTCTTTCCTGTAGTTTGTTTGTGTGTGAGTGGGAGAGAGAGAAAAAGAGAAAGGGAGTGTTTGGTTGTGTTTGTGTGTGTGTGAATGAGAGAAGAGAGAGGAGAGAAAAAGAGAGTAAGAGAAAGAAATGGAACGAGAAAGAGAGTGTTTAGTTGTGTGTGTGTGTATGTGTGTGTGTGTATGTGTGTGTGAAAGAGAGAAGGAGAGAGAGAGAAAGAGAAAGAAAGGGAGAGAGAAAGGGACTGTTCAGTTTTGTCTGTGTGTGTGTCCGTGTGTGTCCGTGTGTGCATGCTTTTTAAATTTTCTCCTGTCATAAACAAAGCAACTCAACCAAAAAATTAATAAATAAAATATTCATAAATTTTAAAACGGTAAAACCACGAAGATAAATTCAACGAATCATAAAAAATAAATACCGCAAAGCGTTGGAAAAAAATTTGAAAAAATAATTTTTTCTACCTTTCAAGATGTTGCCTTTTATTTTTCATTCATCCGTCTGATAAAAAACTATTTAATGTTCCGAAGATCAACTGAATCAATGATACTGATTTAATTATTGATTCGAAGCTACAGTTCAAAGAGCCTGTTTACTGCAGAATAGCCAAGGCCAAATCAGTGCTAGAAATTTCGGCAAGAAATTTTAAATTTTTATCCGGGGATGCATTTCTTTGTGTGTACAAACAGATCCCACGTGAGGTCGGACCTGGAGTATGAATCTGAGATTTGGAATCCATCCACAGAGTACGAAATTAATGAGTTGATAAATAAGAGGAAATTCAAAGGAGAGCCACACGTCTCAATGTTTCGTGCAAAACCTACAATATTTTGATAAGTTGAATAAAACTTGGCTTACCATCCTTATCGTTGAAGAGAAAAAAAGTTGAGCCATGATGAACTGTTGCCAGCATCTATATGCCCTCCAGTGACATAGGTATACCTCGTTCCGTAAAACAAGTTGTCACTCATTCAATTTAAGCTAGCTATAAAGAATGCAGAAAGTTTATTTTCTCAAATAGAATAGTTGATAATTGAAAAAGCCTGGAAAAAATCGAATAAGATTGGAAGAGATGATTGAAGGTCAAAGTGTTGAACGGTTCAAGACCATGTTGGACAATTTTCATGGTGATAGAAAATTCTAACAATCAAATTTAAGTTAGTTATATAATTCATTCGAATTGTTTTTGTTTATTTAGTTTGTATACATTGGATCTCTGTATGTGTTTGTGTGTGTGGATGTATGCATCTTTTACACCACGTGTTCTGTTGAGTGTGTTTCTTGAACATCTGTACATTAAACATTGCGTACTAATTGTTTTGTTCATATATCTTACTTTCTCAATTTCATTTGAGTATGGTGTTATAGGTTTTGCACATCTACAAATATGTTCTGTTGTGTGGTGTGGTGTCGTGTTCGTAGGAAGCTTTTAGAGGAGATGAAAAATTAATGAGAAGCAAGAAAGCAGATTTGCGTCTGTTAAATCTGGAACGTGAAAACATACAAAGAGAAATTTAAAATGTTGATTCATTACAGTTTCTAGACATACTCAGTCATTCTTCTTCGGATTATGTCAGGCAGGCAGGCACGCACACACGTACGCACACGGCGACAATTTTTAGAGTTAAAAATGTATTAAATTAAGAAATTTTAAATCTATTCTTAAAATTTTTCATATTTCTTTTTCTTATTTTTTAAAATTAATGAGCTTTTCTTCGGAAAGAACGTCAGAGAAAATATTTATCACTCGGGAAAAATCTAATCCCCCCCACAAACAACACACAAACACACACACACACACACATACAAACACTCACAAACGCATACAAGCATATACAATGATTAATGCAAAGTATGTAATGTAAGTACATACATCTACAAACATACGTACACACACAAACTCACGGATAAGCAATCAAAACATACAGATACAAATAAAAATACAGTCACACATATGTATATACACATACACATACAATCACACACATGTATACACACACACACGCACACAGACTCACATACACACTCATCTTCTCTCGTACACACGCATCTATGGCTTCTGACTGAATGCGTCCGAGGTTAAGTCTAATAATAAACAAAAAGTTTTATATGAATTTTAGTGAACTTTTTATTAATTTTTTGTCAGAAGTTTTTATTAGGTCGAAGAAGCACATGGAAAAATTTATTCAAATAAATGAATATAAAATAGACGATTAGGTAGACAGACAGAAACAAACAGACAAGACAAACAGACAGACAGACAGACAGACAGACAGATTTCATTCTAATAAGAATCCAAAATTATGCAGTTGGAGCCGTAAGGAGCTGATAAACGTTTGGTTGATGTCTTGCTTAACGCGCGCACAGCAATGGACGTGAATAAATCAATAAATCACTCCATTTAATTCTATGCGCAGAGCAAACATCATTCCACGGATAGGGATGTAAATGAGGATGGTTTTGTATCTTCTGCCATGGAGTTTGTTTTATATACGCTGTTAATTTTGTACGTCCACACACACACACACACACACACACACACACACACACACACACACACACATTTTCACAAGGTTTTGTATATTCTGTTATGGAGTTTGTTTTATTTACGCCATTAACTTTGTACGCCCACACACGCGCACACACACTCACAACAAACATATACACATAAAAATATAAGCACAGCACACAAACACACACAAACATTCATTCATCACTGATACAAAATGATTAGAACATCATCCGTTTTTATATACACAAGTGCTTAATTTTTTACTTTTTGCAACGCGAAGTAATCGCGCAACCAAAAAGATTTTATTTTTTTAAACTTTAAAACACGATTAAATAAAAAGAGCTAGTTTATTGCAACGGCGCTAAAAATAACCACACACCAATCAACACTAATTTGGTTTGAACATGCAAAACTCATCATTGCCCTGTCTGTTAGATGGCGGACTAACAAAAGAGCTCCAAAATTGATTTGAATGAATGGTTTTGTGAAAATTGAGGAAAGTTACAACAAAAAATATCTAAAAGCATATTAGGTAAGTTGGAATAATAACAAAAAGATTTAGAAAAGTATTTCACTGACCTTCCCGATACAACTGAGTACTTTTACTAAATAATCCCAGTGTAAGTTTGAGATTTAAAAAAAGTTATTTTTTAAAAATGTTGGTGTGGTATTGCCGTTGCTGTTGTTGTTGATGTTGTTGTACAAGAATGCAGGTTACGGGGTTGAAGTCATATTTTACTTTCAAAAGAAAAAGAAAAATAGTTTACTTTTTTTTTATAAAGTTAGGGTTAGGGTTAGGGTAATTTAATAGGATAATTTTTTCCGTATGCGTCCTGTGAATTTTATTTATGATGGCCATTACGCTGGAAAACGCATTATATTCGCAATAAATCTTTCTCTCAAACTGCGTGCGTGTGTGTGTGTTTTACAATTAGTGTTCTGTCGGTTTTTGTTGTCTTTTTCTGTTTCGCTTCATTATTTTGGATGAATAATTATGGAGATTAGTTGGTAGTGGTATTGGCGTTGTTGTTCATGTTGTTGTTGATGCTGCTGTTGTTGATGTTGTTGATGCTGTTGTTAATGTTGTTAATTTCATTGTTGATGTTGTTGTTGATGTTATTGATGTTGTTGTTGATGTTGTTGTTGTTGATGCTGTTGATTTTATTGATGATGTTGTTGTTTTGTTGGTGTTATTGATGTTGTTGTTGATGTTATATCTGTTGATGTAATTTGTTACTGTCTGTGTGTTGTTGACGTTTTTGTTGTCAGTGGTGTGAGTGTTGTCTGCAAATTGTTGTAATTGGAAATTTATTTTTTCCAAGTTTTCCAATTTGTCAATTCAGTGCGCCTGTGAGAAGAATTAGACGGACAGAAAACTTAAGCAAATCATCAATATTCACGAGAACTAATTATTAAACATGGAAGTTAATTAATATTCATGAGGTCATGAGGTATAATTCCCAAACATATTGTATGTGTGTATGTGTGTGTGTGTGTGTGTGTGTGTGCGTGAGATGTGTATGTGGTTGGTATGTGTGTGTGTGTGTATGTGTGTGTATGTGTGTTTGTGTGTGTGTGTGTGTGTGTACCAAATCACCCAAATACACGAGTACCACAGATTTCTTATTTAGGAAAACCATTTCTTTCCGTCAGAGTTGACCATTTTATTATGTATCTAATTTAACAATGTGTGTCATGCGAATGTGCGTGTCAGTGTTGTCTTATTTCTCGTTTCGTCTCGTTTAACGACTGTTGTTTATGTTTGTGTTGGTGTTCATGTTGATTTGTTTATGTTTATGTTTGATTGTTTATACAATTTTGTTTACCATTGTATTTCTTTTTTTTTACATTTCTATCTTGTTTGTATAGTCCCGGTGTGTATAAATTTTCTAAAATTTGGTTTACGTTGTTGTTTATGTTTAGGCTTGATCTAATTGCGTTTGTTTGTTCATAGTTTTTATTTGATTTGTGTCTGTTCAGTTTACTTTTAAAATTTGAAATTTGTTTATGAACTCTCGTTGCATACTTTGGACGATTAAGACGAAACGCTTAGGATTTCCTGTTTAATAACTTGTTTTAGGCCTATTATTACTACATTACTACATTATAAATTTCATTCACCGTGCTATCAGTTGCTACCAGCGCCATACGCACGAACTATTCCACGTAGTATATGACAGGAAGGAACCTCTTTTTGTATTCCAACCCATCATTGCGCCATCAAAACCACGCACTCCTACTGCAAACATTCGCCATATTCTGGCCGGTGTTCTTCGTGATTGTTAAGTCTAGGTTGCGCGCGTTTCATGTTCAGTGATAGCAATTCATAATGTCTATTCAACGAGAAAAGTTCTTAATATGCAAGACTACTTTTGGCAATTTTTTTATGTAAAGTTTTTTGTTGTTCTGGATCAAATTAATGTATGTTTTCCCTCTCTGTGGTTAAAATTTTTTTTTGATTACTTGAATATGAGCTAACACATCACGTACATGATTGTACCTTTTTATAGGCTGTAAGTTGATAAGGTTTCGGTTTGTCTTTCTCTCTCTCTGTCTCTCTCTCTTTCTGTCTCTTTCTCTCTCTCTCTCTCTCTCTCCCTCTGTCTCTTTTTGCGTATATGTGTGTGTGCGTGCGTGTGTGTGTGTATGTGCATGTACAATGATGTTTACATATGCTCATTCATTCTTGGACAAATTTAATTTATCTCAAGCCCTTAGCACTGACTCTTCTTGATTTGATATATGATGCCGCTCAAATTCGGTGCGATCTCGTTTCGTTATTAAATGTTTAATCTCGTTTCGTTATTTAATGTTTAATCTCGTTTCGTTATTAAATGTTTAATCTCGTTTCGTTATTACGTTTTTAATCTCGCTAAACAAGTATTTTATAACCCAAACATTGACACGTGTATCTACGAAGTATCTCAATAGTTCAAAAAAAACCTTCAATGAATTTTTCTATATGTTTGTGGCGCCTGGTCTAAGACACCTGGCACAAGTGTCGCATTAACTGGATTCGAACTCACATGCTACAAAACACCAAACAACAGTAATAACAAGATACAACAAAATGCAAACAAACACAAACACAAAAGCATAGACAACAGAACGGGAAACAACAGAACGCCAACAGTAAAATACAATGAAAACGTCACGAAAATATCGACGTAGATGCTAACGAAGATGGTGTCAAGAGGACGGTGATGTCAACGATGACGTCATAATTGGCGTGGATGTCAATAACTCTAGCAGAGTCTATAAAGCCAGGAAGATAATAACAACGAAAATAAATGATGAACCTGACATCTGCCGCAATAAAAAAAATCAATTACCATAACGATATAATGGTGGCTTAGATGTCTTTTTTTGAGTTTTTAATTTCTTTCAGGAGCTGATTTGAAAGAATTGGTATTTTTTTTAAAACATTTGTTTGCCATTTAGAAAAACGCTGAAAGCAAATTTGAAAACAAAGAAAGCAATTACGTAAATAAAAGTTTTGTACATTTGAATTTTTTCAAATCTTTGTTATGACGTCATTATCGTCATTACCATTGAGAATTCATTAGTGATGATAAAGTCTCTTTGTTATCTTCATCTTAATTATCTTTATCATCTTCATCATCATCTTCAATACCATTATCTTCGTCATCCTTATCATCGGCGTTTTACTGTCATCATTTTATTATTATTATTAACTTGTGATATTATTATTTATAGAATCATCATAACCATGTCATCATCATCATAACCATGTCATCATCATCATCATCATCATCATCATCATCATCATCATCATCATCATCATCATCAACATCATCATCATCATCATCATCATCTATACTATCATCTGAATTATCATCGTTGTATCATCATCATCTCTATCATATTCTTTTTTATCATCGTCATCATCGTTATCATCCTCCTCCTCTTTCTTTTTTTCTTCTTTTTCCTCATCATTGTCATCACCATCGTCATCATCATCATCATCATCGTCGTTATCATTATAATCATCAATTTTTTTCGTACGCCCACGCAAAAAATATCCGGTCGGGAAAAGTTCCACAAAAACATGAAAAAAACTTTGAAAAAAAAACAAATATACACGCAAAGATTTTTGAAAAATTTCAGATTTTGAAAAATTTCAATAAAACGAGCACAAATGAATTGCGTGAAAAAATTTTTCTATCAATTTTCTTGCAAACAAGTAAGAATTTGTAACAAAGACAAGAACATCGGCAAGCAACAAACAACAGCTGCTACAAGCCAACAACAACAACAACAATGACAACGACAACAACAACAACAACGATGAAGACAACAACAATAACAAAAGAACATCAGACCAAGAAAAACAACTGACAACAATTAAACTAAAAACAACATCCAACAAAACAAACGTTCAACTAAAAATCAGCAACCATCAAAACAAATGAAAAACTACAAAACTGAAATAACCACAACAACTTAGAACCACCAAAAACCACCACAAACCACCAACAGCCATCACCAACCTGCCAGTTCTGACTCTGACGACGTTTTTAGGCCCAAGACGTCTGACTCGATGTAGGACGAGACTGTAGAATATGCTGATACAGATGATCGGGATGATGTAGGCGATTATGAACACACCCCAGATAAACAAGAGTCCAGTATATTCTATTATGTTAGTTTGTTTGTGTCGTTTGGGTGTGAATACAAGTTTGTTTGTGTCGTGTGGGGGTGAATACAAGTTTGTTTGTGTCATGTGGGTGTGAATACAAGTTTGCTTGTGTCGTGTGGGTGTGAATACAAATTTGTTTGTGTCCTGTCAATGCGGATACATTTCCCCGTTGTGTTTGTCCGAGTTGTGTGCGGCTAAATACAAAATTTGGTGTGGATGGGGAAATTAGTTGTGTATGTTCTGTTGTTTTGTGTCTTGTCGAGTGTATATTGGAAGATACAAGTTCTGTCGTGTTTGTTTTTGTGGCGAGATTGTAAAAGATGTAATGTATATTCTATTTTGTCAGTTTGTGTGAATGTAGGTATATAATAAGTTAAGAGTTTTTTATATTTTGCTGATGGTGTGTCTTTTTTAGCGTGTTTGTGCCGTGTTTTTGAGTGTGTTTCGCCGTAAATATACTGTTTGCAGTGCCATGTTCTTGAGTAATGTACAAAATGTGTTAATATTTAAAGACGGATTTTTTTGAAACCTTTAAGTTTGCTGTTAACTGAATGTAATGTTAAGTGTGCATGAATTGTTGAATGTGTTGTGTTTGAATTCAATATTAGCTTGTTATTTGAGCTAGACTGTGTCTAAATGCAATGTTGGTGTGTTTTTAAGAGTGTTGCATCATGTTATAGAGTGTGTGTATGTTGTGGTTTTGCGTGAGTGTCTGTCTTTTTTTTTTCTCTCTTTCTCTCTCTCTCTCTCTCTTTCTTTTTCTCTGTGTGTGTGTGTGCGTGCGTGTCTGTGGTTGTCTGTCTGTGAGTGCATGTCCCATCTTTAGTGGAGCGTGTAATTTATAATGTGTTTGTGAAATGAAGCGAATAAATCTTTTATCTTGTCTCGAATGACAAATGCACATTTCATTAACATTCGAAAAAAGTCTAGATAATAACTCAAATGAGAATTAACAACTATATTCTAAAAGAGATTTTATTTTCACCGAATAGTTTACGATGCATCTATATCGGGATTTTTCTCTCCGCAAGGAATACACATAAATGTATACATTTTTAATAATGCTTAAAGTTTGTTTAAATATATGAAATTAGTGTTTTAATATTTTTTTTTGGAGATTTTTAGGGTAAAACTCGCTGAGTCTTGGAATGTGGAAGGACTAGTAAAAACTTAATTGTTGATTTCATTTATACAAAACTTTCGATCAAATTTTTCATCGTTTTTTTTCAAACAACTAACCTTCCGATGGAAAAATTTTTTTTATAGAATCAAATTAAAAATTAAATGGATAAAATAAAATCAACAGTAAAATAAATTTTCTTTCTAAGAAGAATAAATTGAAACTAGCAAAAAAATGAAATAAATTTTCAATTTATTTGAATTTATTTAACAAATTTAATTTGTTTAAAATAAATTCTTTCTTATTTCATTTTTTTAATAAAAAAAATTTTTTCTAAACAATTTTTTCAAAATAGAATGTGAAATAATTTTAAATTTATCTCATTAAAAATACATTCACATTATCAAAACCCAACCAAGCAAACCGAATTAAACGTTATTCCATTTAGTACTGCAACTAGTATTTGTAGTAGCAGCAAAGACAGCAGCTGCAGCATTAGTACTAGTATTAGTAGTATTAGTAGTAGTAGAAATAGTAGTAGTAGTAGTAGTAGTAGTAGTAGTAGTAGTAGTAGTAGTAGTAGTAGTAGTAGTAGTAGTAGTAGTAGTAGTAGTAGTAGTGGTAGAAGTAGTAGTAGTAGAAGTAGTGGTAGTAGTAACAGTTGTAGTAGTAGTAGCTGTAGTAGTTGTTATTTTGTTCAGTACTGCTACTACTACTAGTAGTATTAGCAGCAGCAGCAGCAGTTGTTGCAAAAGCAATAATGTAATATTACTACTACTACAAATAGCAATATTAATTTCTGAAAAAACCATCCATGTTGCGTGTTAGTTTTACGTTACTGTCAATAAATTTTTTTATTCACTTTTTTTTATTCTCTCCTTCATCATTTATCTCGCCTTTCTTTCTTTTTCTCTTGCTCTCTCTCTCTCTCGCTCTCTTTCTCTCTGTGTTCTTTTTCTTTGTTTCTCCTTCCTTTTCTCTCCATATTTTTACTTGATTTTTATTTAGTTTATACCATTCTTGTCTATTCTATCAGGTTTATTTAACTCTTAACTCTTCATTGCTTATTTTTCTTCCCGTTCCTCTTTCTCTCTCTCTCTCTTTCCCTCGCTCGCTTTTGCTTTCTCTCTTACCGGTTTTTCATTCATTTCTCACACTTCTTCTTTCCATCTGCTCCCAATTTTTCTTTCACCGGACGTAAGTGAGACGCATTTGCCGCAATAGCAAATGTAATTTTAGAATCCGGAAAACGGCGCGTAAGCACGCAAACACTTATGGATATATGTAATTTAATCGATGGAAAGCACATACACACACACGCACGCACGCATACACACACATACGCACGCACATAAACACACACGCACGCACATAAACACATACGCACGCACATAAACACATACACACACACGCACACACATAAACAGTTATGGAGGCACTTTTCGAACGGAAAACATCGGGTACGTTGAATATTTTTATCCATAATTGTCCTTACAACTTAAAATGTGGCTTGTCTATCCCTACTATGTACACTGCATGTGTACATAGTTTGCAAATACAAGTGAATTACCAGTTCAATTACTAAGAATATTACAACTATATAACAGAATTTCAAAACTTTTCTAAACGAAGTATTTAATATTGTTGCTCAAAATGAACCCAAGCATTTCAATCAGCATTATTTTTATTCAGAAAATTTGCACCAAATGAACATAAAACATGACGTCTGGACAATATATAGGTCGATATGTTGCTGTTGAAATAAATATACAACACACACACAACACACACACACATACACACACACACACACTGAGAAACACATTTCTACACATAGCAACGTATGTAAATATATCTAACGTATATTTATTTATCCGTTTCTTGCAAAAATTTCTTAATCGACAAAGAAAACATGTGAATAAAAACAGGTATTTTTCGATAATTTGAGTAAATCTATTGAAAGTCTTGTGTTTGTTTGTATGTGTATTTGTTTGTATATTTGTATATGTATTTGTTTATAAATATGTGTGCCTCTGTTTATTTAAATTTAAACTTTTCTGCCAATTAAATAATTGAATAATATTACAGTTGAACGAATCACCAACCAACATACAGCCAGTCACGCAGAAGCACACCTCTACAGTCTGCCAATCAATCAATCAACCAACCAATTAATCAACCCATCAATTAACCAATCATTGACCAGTCAATCAACCAACCAATCATTTACCAACTGACCAGCCCGCCACCTACCGACATCTCCACTGATTTCCGGCAGATCCAGTATGCAGGACCACCTCCCGTCATCATTCTCGACAAGTCTTGAAAAGATGAAAACTGGAGAGGAAAAGAAGGCTGAGAGAATCCAAACGACCAGACAGATGCATCTGGCGCTCAACTGCGTTCGAATCGTCGCACTGTGGATAGCCTTACAGACGGCCAAATACCTGTCGATGCTGAGGGTCGTCAGGGTGAAGACGCTACTGAACCAGTTAATGGTGCTCAGTCCTAGGTAGGTCTGTAATGGGTTGGGGGTTTAATTCAAAAGGTGTTGGTGTGGTGGTTTTTTTTCTGTTACGACGCTTAGCTGGGGTTGTTGCTAACTTACAGAAAAGCAACAAAAGAAGTTTTGTAATAATTTAAAAAAAATTGTTTTATTCGTGGAAAAAGTTTAAGTCTTTAATTGTAAATTACACATTGCGTTCATTTTCTAATTAAAGATGTCAATAAAAACTAATCCCTAAAGATTAAAAATATAAGATATAAAATTTAAAATACGATAAAATAAATCTGCATTTAAAAACAGAAACAATATTATAAAAGCAAATTTGTGTTTTTTCAAATTTGCAACGTTTTGTTTCTTTCCATGTTTCCATTTTATCGCTACATTTCAAAGCAATGTTGTTGATTACATGGTTAAGATGTTGAAGTACTTGCAATGAGTTACTCACAATGGTCACATAAGTCTGGTCGTCTGGAGAAGACTTAACATCGTTGTTTCTTGCAACTTCATCATCAAAATTTGTAAAATTTGCATGACCACCGTTGACCTTTCATTTTCTTTTATTTTTTCTTTTTTTATTTCCTGATTTTCGGCGTTTGTTTGTCCCATTTGATTCTATATTTTTTATGGCAACTTGGTCGCTGAATGTCACTCTTTTTTTGCCTTCTTTATTAATTTTCCCATTTTTTGTGGTTGAAGCATTTTCATCTTGATGAACTGAGGATGTGCTTTGAATCGTAAATGCACTACTCATACATATCCATTTGGAGTAGAGTTTGTTGGCAGTTTTTCCAACAGAGCCCTCTTCGGATACAAACTTTTCCACAATTTTTCCAATCCCTGTTTCTCTCAACAGTTCCACGTCCATGTCAATTCTTCCCAGTTTCTTTAGCCGTGAATTAATCTTTCCTTTGCAATTATTTTTTGTGCTGTATGCTGCTAAGGAGTACCCATTTTTGTTAATTTCGGCCACTGTCAAAGATCTTTCCAATCTTTCGTCCGTCTCTGTGCACGATTGTTGGAATTCCATTGCAAAATTATTTGAATAAATTTGATGAAACTATTCCAAAATTGTTACTTGCAAAATATGGTTAGGCTGCTTTGAATGCCGAAGAATTTAATAAACGTATTACGTTTCAACCACTTATATACATCCTTCCAAAATTACTAGCTGCTTTGCGTAAGCTTTGTTCTTTGTAAAAATCGACTTTAGTAGCACAAAGTCAATTTTAATTAGTTACTTTGCTTTACTCTCTTTACTTTGGAAGTTTCAAAAAGTAACTTTATGGTATTAGTAATTTAACGAGCCGTAATTTACAATATTACAATAAATGAAACAAATGTGTGATAATGATAACAATAAAAACAGTGAAAATAAAGTCATTCATTCGGCACAGCGTCGATGAGCTTGTTTGCTGCTGGCGAATGTTCTAGATTCCTGCTGTCACTAAACATGCCTCGGATATTTGGCGTAACGTTCATTGAATAGCTGTTGATGAATGTATGGAGATAGAAATGTTTAGATGGATGAGTAACCAGCACGCAAAACACATGAAGGGCTCATTTTACGAGAGGCAACTGTGGAATTATGGCGGTTGCATTGTCCGCTGTGAGCGATAACAAACTGGAGTCGTTCCTTCTAGGGAAGACAACAAAAACAGCGAAATGAATAATGAAGTAGATAATCGCGCCTATTCATCAAATGCTATTTTGTTCAAATTTTATTAGAAATTTTTTTTCATTTAACTAAAAATAGCCAAATAGATTGCAATGCGTGAGTGTAGCATATTAAAAATGCATTGAAACTGCATGGTAAATGTGTTCCTGAGAGGTAGAGGTCTACATGGAAAATTTCCCACAATTTTTTCCGCAAAAACCCGCGGGAAAACTGCGGGTTAGGAACAGAAGTTGGAGGGAAACTCGCCGGGCGGGAATGAAAAGCGAGTGAAAACCGCGGGGCGGATATTTTTCGTGCGTGAAGTACAGCGGGACGGGAAAAATTTTAGAGGGAAAACCGCAGTTGACTTGACTTTGATGACGAAGTTCCAAAAAGGTTGAAAATTAATGAGAAACTTCATAGCTTGAACAGCAACGCAATTGATAAAGTTAGATTATTATTACTATGTTTAAAGCTAAGCAAGCTCACAGATGCACATGCATTAACGCTAAATAATATTCATTGTGATAACACAAAAGGACACGTTACCAATTATATTAAGTGTTATGTGCAGGGCACATCACTATTTATTCTATTTGTTTTTGGGCGATAATTAATGTATTGATACAATGTGACTTACTGCTGTGACATGCTTTTTAGTTCGTTCGATTCGTTTCAATTCGTTGGTTATAGAACGTTATATTTATTTTACGTAATAAATTAGTATACGTACATTATGCTTATTGTTTTCTATTTAGTTTGTGTTTCAACTCTTCAAAACAGCAAAACACAACATTAAGTATGCAGCTTGAAAACAGAATCTGTCTTTATCAGCTGTTTACAGATGAACATGTGATCAGCGAGTTCTATTTTCATTTTGTTTTGTTTTTTATTTCGACGACGACCTCCTAGTTTGATAAATATGAACAAATCGGCAGTCAACAACTTAATATTTTCCGAAAGTCAGCGAATAACGTATTTATTTTCTCAACAGTCAAGGAGTGGTATAAAATTTACAAACAATTTACTGAAACACTAACATTAACCAGTATTTTTGTTTGTTTTTATTATTAAAATTGTACATAGAATGTACTACATAATACTCTGACTAAGGATACTTTATTGTATTTGTTAATAATGATATAATTATTGAGGGAATGAGTGCGGCAAAATGAAGATTTGTGAGGGAATGAGTGCGGGTGAGGGAAGACTTGTGAGGGAATGGGTGCGGGAAGACTTGTGAGGGAATGAGTGCGGGTGAGGGAAGACTTGTGAGGCAATGGGTGCGGGTGAGGTAAAATTCATTTTCAGGTGGGGCAGGTGAGGGAATAGAAATGTGTTCCCGCGTAGACCTCTACTGAGAGGGCTTAGAGAGAGTGAAATAATCCCAAATATTGCACTGGTAATGCTGTAATTTGTGATGATTTATCGGAGATGGATGAGTCTTTAAAGGAATTATATAAAAATTACTCACATGCGCAAGCAGTAATTGATGAATATAGATTTAGTAATTTTTTAATAAAATGTTCCTATCTATACGACGGTTTCTGCTGACTACTAGCTACTCAATTTAACGTGTGCGAACTATAAAATAATTGTTTTATTTATGGAAATATAATTTTTAGATTATAGTAAATAACACAATGGGTTTGTTTTTTAATTAACTATTTCAGTAAAAACTAATCTCAAAAGTTTGTAAAAAGATAAAATAAAAAATACAATATGATATAATATAATACAATATATTTACATTTATATTATGGTCTTTTCTATTTTCTCTGCCGGTTGTCTCCAGCCATAAAGGCCAAAATGACTGTCCCCAATCGTTTCTGAACTTCACCTCTATTGTTACTCTAGTTCTTTCGGTAGTTCTTCTTGTGCAATCATAGCCAGGCTGTTTCCAAATCTCGACTAAGACTCTCGTTCCATTTCGCGTTTGGTTTGTTTGTTAATTTTTTTTCATTTTTCCAGACGTTTAGATTTAAGCCTATACACAGAAACAATTTTATAGGAATTGCGAACTATAAAATAATTGTTTTATTCATGGAAATATTGTTTTTAGATTATAGTAAATAACACAATGGGTTTGTTTTTTAATTAACTATTTTTGTAAAAACTCTGTATTGGGTTGGGGGTATAATTGTGGTGGTGTTGGGGTGGTGGTTTTTTTTTATTCTGTTACGATGCTTGGCAGGTGCCGTTGCTAATTTACAGAAAAAGGTTTAACATAAGAAGTTTTGTAATAATTTTAAAACAATTGTTTTTGTCGTGAGAGAAGTTTAAATCTTTAATAAAGAATTACACATTGCGTTCATTTTCTAATTAAAGATTATAGTAAAAACTAATCCATAAAGATTAAAAGTATAACAAGTTATAAAATTTAACAAAAAATAAGATTTATTTGCATTTAAAAACAGAAACAATATTATAAAACAAATTTGTGTTTTTATTCATTATTTGCATCGTTTTGTTTGTTTCCATGCTTCCATTTTATAGCTACACTTTAGAAATGTTGTTGATTTAGCTCGGTTAAGATGTTGACGTAGTTAAATTTTTGTTAATTTCTCGGTCATTTTGTTAACATCTTGGTTTTTTTAATTAACAATGGTCACATCAGTTTGGTTGTTTCTTGCAACTTCATCACCAACATTTGCAGAAGTTCCGTGACCTTTCATTTTCTTTTATTTTTTTTTATTTCCTGATTTTCGGCGTTTGTTTTTTTCCCGTTTGGTTCTATATTTTTTATGGCAACTTGATGGTTGAATGTCACTTTTTTCTTGCCACCTTTATTGATTTTCTCATTTTTTGTGGTTGAAGCATTTTCATCTTGATGTGCTTTGAATCGTAAATGCACTATTCAAACATATCCATTTGGAGTAGAGTTTGTTGGCAGTTTGTCCAACAGAGCCCTCATACATTTCCATTTGTAGTTGAGATTATTAGCAGTTTCTCCAACAGAGCACTCTTCGGAAATAAAGTTTTCCACAATTTTTCCAATCCCCGTTTCTCTCAACAAATCCACGTCAATGTCAATCCTACCTAGTTTCTTTAGACGTGCTAAAGAAACTAGGTGCTAAAGACGTGCTAAAGAAACTAGGTAGTAGCCATTTTTGTTAATTTCGGCCACTGTTAGAAATCTTTCCAACTCGTCCGTCTCTGTGTACATTTACTGGAATTCCATTCCAAATTATTTGAATAAATTTGATAAAACTATTTTTAAATTGATACTTGCAAAATATGGTTAGGCCGCTTTGAATGCTGAAGGACTTTATAAGCGTACTACGTTTCAACCACTTATATACATCCTTCAAAAATTATTAGTTGCTTTGCTTTGTTGTTTGTAAAAATCGACTTTAGT